GTTTACGTACGAATAATATCATCAACTACAAAGGAGAACACTTTGGATATGTATTTTACCAATAGTAATCTCGGTCCCCGTTTGTGTGGTCAGCCTGTCTTCTGGTGGACCAATGGTTTGAACAGAAGGTGGTGTCAGTGGATTTATTGTAGAACCGTCACATGTACGCCCATCTTGCATTAGGAAAGAGTTTGTGGGACAGAGACAGGAATATTTAGCCGAATTATCGCTCACATCAGGGGCAGCTACACACAGATCAGAGCATCCACCGTTATGATCTTCACAATGGTTAATAATTCCTAAAGTAAAAAAGAGAGGGGCACAGTGTTAACTGCATTATTGAAAAAAATCACAAAACATGAATAACTTGGAATAAAGTCTTACCGTTAATTTGTTTTTGAGGATGATATATTTGGATGCCTGTAGGTCGAGAAAGGTTATCAACTAAAATGGTATGGTTTCCATTGAATTTGTTAGCTTTAATGATACTCCTTATCTGCCAATCTGTGATGTAGACATAATCTTCGAAAACAGTGATGCCGAACGGATGAGGCAATATTGAATTTGATTGGAGGATGGTTCGTCTACCCTGGCCGTTGTAGTCGATGCTACTTAGGCTGTGTTGAGTACGACCATCAACCCAAAAAAGGAGATCACTAATCAGATCAGTGGTCAGACCATTTGGCCAATATATATCAGTGTCCACGAGGGTCAGTCTTTGCATTCCGTTCATTCCTGCGCGTTCAATCTTGGCAGCTCGACCCCAATCAGACCAGAACATGTACCTGTAGAAAAACAGAAAATAGTATTAAAAAAAAAACAAGAATTACTGTTAAAAAGAACTTTGCAACGTTTTAAAATGTAATATAATAACTAGTTATTAGAAATGTAAATACCAGCAGTGGCGGATCCAGGGGGTTTAGACGAACCCCCCTCTGTGAAGAAACGAAACAAAATACTACTGGGTCCTGGCCTACAAAAAGCATGCTAACCTACCTAGGCATATGTTGGCAAATCAGACAAACTAGGCTTAGCCCAACTAGTCTTCAATTAAATAAATTATACACTATATTTGGTCGATGTCGTAGTAATTTATGTACGAAAGTGCGTTCTTCAGGCCTATCGTTTCATCGATCCATGGAAGAAAAACTATTCAATTTTGTTGGAATATAATAATATAATGCCTATATCTTTGATTTTTTTTGTCTATGTATAGGCCTAAAGAATGAGATAAAAATTACTTCACCTTTTTTCAAAAGGGGAAACCTTGAATTTTGAAGAACTTAAAGGTCATTAAAAGACTCCTCAGAAGTCAGGAAAGCTCATTTCCGGCCATCTAGGAATCAAAATCTTCCCGGGGAGGACCCTGGACCCCCCCATTCATTTTGGGTTTTTTTGGAAACATTTTGAACCCCCCTCTTTCAAATGTTGGATCTGCCCCTGACCAGATAATATAAATACAATCTTACCCAATTCTTGGGTCAATAGTAATAGCTCTTGGCTCCTCTAAATTATCAGAAATGAGAATAGTACGTTTGCTTGGATCCTCAAGACTTGCAACTTCAATTCGGTTGGTTCCTGTATCAGTCCAGTACATGTTGCGGTAGACCCAGTCAATGCATAGCCCATCTGGTATGTTAGCCCCAGTTATGACGACTTCTGGCGAACTAGTGCCATTTATATTAGTGCGGTAAATCTCCTCTAGAACAACGTCTGACCAGTAGACCTGCATTTCCTTGAAGTCGTAGTCTACGGCTACGGCGTTTGTCTGACCATATGCGATCGTTCGATATTCATTCTTAAGTGGGTCATACCCTCGGACAGTGAAACGGTCTGCAAAAATGATTAGTGGGTCTGGTCCAATAGCTCGGCAGTATGTGTGGTTTATAAGAGTGTAGCCTTCCTGACAATAGCAATCATAGCCACCGTCATGATGGCTAATGCATCCCTGGCTGCACAATTTCGGACTTGTCTGTTTACAAACATCAGAATCTTGAAAAAAAAAATAGCAAAATTTTCTTTATTTTAATAATATTGTTAACTTTATAAAAGGCAATTTTAATTGTTGTGTTCTATTATAAGTCTCTAAGAAGTCAGCTTGGAAGGCAGTGGTGGCGCCAGAGGGGGGTGCGGGGC